CATAACCATGGGATTTGTCGGGAGAAGGGGAGCTGGGTTATTTTGGGGACTTTGCAGGCGGCATAGAAAACTCTTGTGGGGAGAGGTTGGTGATAATTGTTCAGTAGTCTTCAGTCAGTAGGAGATGGTGTTGCAAAGAGTCTTATTGATCACATCTGCACTGTTTGACCAGCCTCAAATCTAACTGACCTGTGCCCTTCTTCAGCATAAATTGCTGAGCACTTAACTCAAATGAAATTATGAGTGCCTGTTTCAGCACTGACAAACAAGTATGATAATAAATGTTACAACTCGTACAACTGTGGTTCATGTGATGCATTTAATTGCAAGTTCCTGCGAGTAACTGACTTTTAGATATCATGTAAAGGAATTAAATCCTAATGGCCTGACCATATGATACAAAGCCCTGTGGCAATTGGATGGATGAAAATGGTTCCCTCAGACGCTGGAGATGTAAACAGACACTTCACACACCATTTTCCCTGCAACTGTGCTTTAACTCTGCTTGTAATTGAAGGATTAGTTGTCCTGAATTTAACCAGATATGAAGAGGGAACAAGAGAAAAAGAAGAAGAGAGGAAGCCTGTACTTGCTCGTGTGTCTGTAAAATGCTGATCAGGTAATTGAGACAAACCAAATGTTTATACAAGGGCATTTCTGGTGCCCCCATCCTTAGCAGGACTGAAGTTCAGTTTGCCTGGGGGTTAGGATGAAATGAGATGATTGTAGACCCGAGACTTTTTTTTATTTTGTTTATCTGTGGGAGAATCAAAGCAGGGCAAAGTACAGCTTTGATGCAGGGTCAAACGTGGGTTTTGTTAAGTGCAGCTTATGTTTTTGATTCATTAGCTGGAGGTAGAGGGAGGAGAGCTTGACCGGATGAACACCAGCAGGAATAACTGTTTGCTGGGAGAAGAAGAAGATCTAACAGTGGACTAAAGGGTGCATTTCTGCTGACTTTGTTGGACTCCAGTATTTAAGAAGTGAGGAATGATGGCTTTATTTCTGGATTGCTCATTGACAGATGCTAAAATGGCCTTCAGAAGGGCAGCTGTCTGCCATTACCCGGTCCCTTTTAAAGAATTTACTGTGGAGCACCTTCTCTAGTTCCTCTTTACAGTCTTGCGCAAGGGTTTTTTTCTGAACTGGCGTAATGGAGATCCCTTTATGAGGAAGGTGGTTTTGCTCACTATTACAAATTACCTCCTATCTATTATCACTTTGATGCGTTTCAGAGTGGTACCCTGCTTTTGCTTCGGTGTACTGAACAGCCAGTGTTCTTCTTGAGTTGCAGCAAATATACCTGGCTCCTAGAGACAGAGTTTGGAGATTTTGGAGAGATCAAGCAAGGTGTGCAACAGTACGCTAGTAAATCATTGATATGTAATACTTTTGTTTAAAAAAATGCTAACAAGGGGCATATTGCAGCCAAAACTTCCATAGATAGCGTAGTTTTGGCTGCTCCTGTCTGTTCTGATGGAAGCGCTTTGTGGGGATCAAAGATCAGTTCATCCTCTTAAGATTTCATTTGGTTTTGTCTATTTTGCTGAAATTGTCATTTAAGGGGACGCTTATTTCTAGATGTACTTTAGACACGTGACCGTGTAGGAGTAAAGCTGACACTACCAGCTCATTTTCTGAAGGCCACCAAGCAGGAATGATCATCGTTCATTACCAGCTTGCTGAAACAGAAGCGGAAAGCTGTGCTTTTCTGCCAGTTTCCTAAGAGGTATGGTTCCCTGCTGTCTCCTTCCTTTGAATTTGTGCAATTTGCCGTTACACTGGAGCAGTGGACGAAGTATGAGTATTGTGTGTGACAGGCTGCTCCTCCTGGGACTTCCATCTTGCATAAATCACTTTTCTTATGTCTCTCTGTAAAATTTAAATGACATCTGGAAGGAAGGGACTTGCCAGACACATCCATCTGAAATATTAAAGTTGTTTTACATTACATTGGCATTGCTGAAATCAAAATCTCAGCTCTTGGGATGGGACGTGTGACCAGCTAAAAATTAGGGCACAGCATCCACGGGAGACATTTTGGAGAGAAAAGATAATATTATTTTTTGACCCTAAGCGTGTTTGAGCTTTAGATTTTCTTCTAGTGTTACACTGGCTGCTGTGACTCTTCATTTGAAAGCAATGACTACTTGCAGCCCTTGGGTTTTGGGTCGGGAAAACTGACAGACTTGGGTCTGCCTTACATTCTGGTCCATCAAGAAAGAGTCCCTGGCTGCCAGCTTTGACAGGTAGTGTGGTAGTAGTGGTTACCTTCAGGCTGCTTGCGTTTTTTTCTTGTGTTATTTGAATGAATAATTGACTGCACCAAAATTGTGGAATGATTTCAATCTAGGAACTGAGGGTTTTGCCACTGTGTTATTGTTAGGTGTTAACAAAGTTGCATACAACACTGTCCAAAATGATCTTCCTTTCAACAGTTAGGTTTTGGAAACAAATGTTTTCATGAGACAAGGTGGTTCGCTGCAGTACTTCACTGTGTTTTTCCTCAGAGGTATTTCAAATCAACACTAAAATGTCATCTCCTTTCAGAGTGTTTTTACGTTCTGGGAAAGTTTAAAAACTTAAAAATTAAAGGATTCAGAGACTTTGTAGTATGAAAATTTTGAAGACATTTGAATAATGAGACGGCACCAAGATGGCACAATTTGAATTTTCCTTTTGTCACAATGGTGAAGTTTTGGAAAGTTACAGAAAGTAGCAGAGCCGACCAAGAAAATGTGAGTGCAGGGGCAAGTGGGAAAGGGTAGATGAAGTAAAATGGCCTGAATATTAAGAATTTAATGCACGATGGCAATAAGAAATGGAAAAACAGCAGGGAGAAGAAAGGAGAAATGACAGGAAAGAAGGACGTTACAGGAAGATGCAGAACATGCTTCCCTCCCCCATATTCAAAGCATTTGAAATAACTTCTGACATTATCGACTTTCTGAAGATACTTTGCCTTTTTCCAAACCAGCACCTTGCCAGGCAACCGAATTTCAGTTCAGTTCCTTGAGTGTGCGTAGCAGGGCTTATTGGGGTCACAGTGCAAGGCTGGATTAACATTCTTAACAGGCTCTGATTTTTGGCTAGTCTGTGTGATCTGTCCTTATCCCCTCCTGTGTGGTGGGAACCGTGTGCTGATGATTCCTAGCAGGTGACGTAGCTGGAGGAGATTACTGGAAGGGCCAGTCCATTTTCTTTACCCTGGCCATGGCTTGGAGAGCCAGCAGGGAGCCTGGGGGCCTGTCTGCTGTCCTTCTGCCCCAGGTTTTCTTTCTTTCTGCTCTTGGAGCCAGATATGTTCACTTTAGCGTGGCAACATGAGTAAAACCCCATCCTTTCCCGGCATCCTGGATGACATATATTCATTATGCTTGCAGACCCAATGTGTAAATGCAGCTGTAATAATGTATGGATGACTCTGCTACAAAAGTTATACTGGGGTAGCTAATCCTCTTCCTAGAGAGAAGACTCTTTTATTTTATAAAACTCTCATTTTCACAGTGCAAATTGTGGGGTGGGGAGGGGTGGGGTGGACGCGATACGACTTGTGCGCGTAGCTCATGGGCACTCTAGTCTTGGTATACTGTGTCTGCAGACGTGGGAGCGGTACCCAGATTAATCATACAGGTAAGTAGTAAAAAAATCTGTGTGTTGGCTTGCTTTCAAGCCAAGTACACTCTGAGCTAGGCTCCGAAATTCTTATCTCTCTGTTCCTCTTCAGGGGATGGGAAAGCTCTGCAGATTAATAATGGGATAAGAAGCAATTTTTTATCCCTCCGTAGATCCCTGTTTCCAAGTACAGTGTGTCTTGGCTGTCTTCATGTCTCAGCCCGGTGGGTGTTGGTATGGGATGGGGAACTGGGGATTTCTCTTGAGCAATCTGCTTTTGCAGGGTGAGCCCTGGCTTTATTGAGGCTTTCATCAACCATCTTTCATCGGCCGAAAGAAGTGGTACTGCATGCAGGCATCCTCCCTCAGCTACAGGCCACACTTTGTAGGCTTCAAAAAGACTGATGCCCATTTGAAGGTGGAGGGAAGCTGAAGAATTTTTAGCGCGCTGTGTTGAGAAGAGTCACGGGTTTGCTTTCGGTAACCCTCTGTGTTTTTAGGAGTCTCTTCTCAATCTGAAGCTGCCTGGTGCGTGTTTTCAAGGGGAGGATGCTAGATGGCTGCGTTCAGGCTTCACATGTGCAATTCCCATTTGGTCTAGCTGCTATTTTAACACGTTTGTCCCGGAAGGTGATAATGCAACGGCTTCCCACTCGTCTGTCACTGCACTAGCTCTGTTTAACATTTCAGTGCTTGTGTGAGGACGGTCATATATTCCTACAGATATGAGACAATCGTAAAATGAAACTGGTGAGTCAACACTGCCAGATGGGTATGTTACAGCCTTTTGTACCACTAACGCCAAACTGTGCTGTGTCATCACAGCTGATTCTAAACTTGTATGGAGGCACAGAAACTTAATGTAAATCCGACTCTAGGTTATTACATGGTGATCTTTAGGTTTTTTAGCTAGACAGAGGAGATTGCTTGAACTCTTTGGCAAAGGAATGATGGCAGGGACGCTGCCTTGTTTAGGCTGTTGCCCGGTAATTGGTGAGGGCTACGTTTACGATAGCTTCTTTCAGGCTTTCTCAGCTTGCGGAATAAATCCATAAACCTGTACTTCAAGTCCCAGAACTTGAAAGTAAAACTAATAGCAGGACTTTAAACACCTATCAGGTGGATTTAAGGTGCGATATTTACTGCAGTATAGAAGAGAGCACTGAAATACCTAATGTTCCCAAGCCACTGAAAAACAGGCTGTCTCACCATGACTGTATATTATGGCAGTTTCTTCCCAGAGCCTTAAACAACATTTCTCATGGCGCTGAGTAGGAAGCATTAGGTATAAGTTCAAGGCCGTGATCTGGGATGTGCTTTCCACTGTTACTTCATTTACTCTGGGCAGCTCACGAGAAGCAAAGTTTCTTGGGTTCAGACGAAAAATGGCCATCTGGAGAATGCGACTTGGAGATGAGAACGGCCCACTGCTTATGAGGACAGCTGATACCACCGTAGCTGTCTCCTTCTCCAACTGGACGGTGGGGTGGACTGGCTCTGGTGCCGAGGTAAGATGGGAAGCATCTGATTTGTGTTGGTGCAGTCCAAGAGCTGTGCCGCATCCAGGCAGTACTGAACCGGGGAGTCACGGTTGTTTCCCTGCAGGCAGGAAAGGAGTAAGCCTGGCTGCGAGCTTCAGTCCGGTGACCCGCATCACTTTCCTTTTTTCTTTTTTAAATAAAACTAACTAAAGTTGCAGGGAAGAACGTGGCCTATGGAGGTCAAGTCAAATGACGAATGCAGGTGTTTGGAAAATCCATCATGCTGTTGTGCGTAGACCTCTTGAAAGTGTTGCAGTGCAGAGGAGTGGAAGAGCAGTGCTGGAGAGGGTATTTTGCCTTCTTGCTTGTCTCTGGTGTTGGCAGTAAAATAGAGTTATTGCTCGAGCTAACCCTATCATCATTAATATAATGTGGATTCCTCCCTGGAGTTGTATCATCTATTCTTTTCACAGTACTTGCGTACTTGAACAATGTTGCATTTGCACATACCCTGCATCATCTCTGCAGCATGTCACCTGTCTTAATTACAGTCCATGGCAGATGCTTCCAGGTGTCTCATGATAGTGGAGATGGTTGATTATAAGTTTCTTTCCTTCTCAAATTCCTTGCATTCTCAACTGTAATTTGTTACGCTGTCTTTACAGAGCACCTTAGTGAAACTTGGAGTATGTTTTGGTTTAACATCATTCAGTCTAACAGGCTTGTGAATCTGCGGTGTCTTTGAGTTTAAATCAACATTTATTTGTGTGTTGAGGTTTTATTTCTCCCCTTCCAGATTATCAGGTGGCCACAGGTAAATATCCTACAGAAAAGAAAGTGAATTCAGTAGTCTTGCATCTCCCAGTTCAGCTTTATTTCTTCGCTGGGGGAAAAAAGGGGGAAGAAGAGGAAGGAAAAATACAATAGAATATTTTTCTAAATCCCCTACCCTTTTTTATTGTCAGGTTGTGCTTTATTTACATGCTGCTGATTTGAAAAGCATGGCAAGTAACACGTAGACAGACGCGTGAAAGTATTGGAAGCACCAAGGGCTTAGTGGTAGGAACTCCTGTCACCAAGGTCTTCGGGAGAGATGGTTACACTGAAGCAAAGCTTGTGATTCAAGTTGCTGAAAGTACTTGTCAGGTCTTGTAGTTCTGGGAATGTTCCTTTGTGCTTCGCTGCGGTGTTCTTAGAAATAGGTTTTGTGCAGCAAAGGATTAACCTACTTTTCCTTTGGAGGTCTTCTTCCTTATAACTGAGTTCATCCACGCAGTCAGATAGGTCACATTCATACCTTTTGTGGGATTCCTATAGCTCTAGGAAGCCTCCAGGCTGCCGATTACATTAGCTGCATTTATGGCACAGTGTGAATCGGGCAAGATGAAGATGGGGAAATAAGAGTGTGAAATAATCTCTCAAGACTTACAGCTGTGTGACTGGGGAACTTCTCCTCCCTCCCACTGTAGCTCCGACTGGCCAGGACAACAGTTAAACCCAGAGTGTTTTTCAAGGTACGCTTTATTCAGAGAGTACTTAAGAGCCTCCAGAAAACAATGTGTACTCAGATTACAAAGGAATAGTGCCGCGTTCACCCGGTGTGTATCTCTCACCGCTGGATAGAAGTCATTGCTGTAGGAAGTCTTTGAAGCTGACCATGTGCTGGGATTCCAGAAGGGGGTCAGATATTTTATGTGGCTCGTGAGCTACTGCAGCTAGTGCTGATCAAACTTCTTAAGGGCTATGAAATCTCATACCTGTGGGTTTAATGCCATCTTGGGCTACTAGACACCCAAGTGGGCCGTTGTGAGAGGCAGATGTCTACTTGCTGCAGGGTTGCTTGTGCTCTACCTTTGGACCATCTGGTGCTGTTTGCTCTCTCTGAGTTGGGCTGACCTCTGGTTTGATTTGGTTCTCTGTATTTCATTTGCAGCTGATGATGTTGGACGACTAAGCCTTCTTAAAAACTTACTCTTTTCCAGACCACGTTGCACCCATCAGCCAGCCAAGCCATTTCGCCTGTTTGGTGAGGACAGTAGTTTTTGCCTCCTGACAGTTGCTTGACAGTGTGCCTAGGAACAGACGATGCACGCCCTGTTATAGCGTTACTGCTTGGCTGCTCTGCGCTAATCAGTTAGCAGAAACTTGGATCAGGAAGAAACTGGCCTGAACTCGAAGGAGAGACACAAAAAAATGCAAATAGGTTTTTTTAATGTGTATTGGGCTGATACTTCCAGATTTCTTATTCTGAGTGTCTGAGTAATGGCAAGGTAAACAAAATGCTGGGGCAGTCATCTGTGCAGCAAGTGGATAAGCCCAGTTTTGTCGTGAGTCTTGAAAGCATCTACCCACCATAACCTTTTCTCAGCAGCTTTGTCGGTTTTGGCAGTGTGTGTGTTTACCTGCAGGATCGTATCTTTCCCTGCACCGAGAAAAGGATGAGCGTGATAGCTGTTCTGCTTTGTGACCCCCTCACGGCCTATGGTTGGCTGTGGTAGAGGTGCAAGGTAGATTTAATGCCCCGCTCTCCCTACAGCTGTCTTCATTGCGACTCCGGACTCTACTCCTCCCTGTGAGCAGGTGGATAGGTGAGAGAGGAATGGGAAATGCACTGTCCATGCTGTGATTTTCATTCCTAACCCATTCGGTAGAGAGGACAGTTCCCTAAAGAGGGTTTCTTGTGTCACTTTTCCTAAATCTCTTCATTCTTCAGGGAAGCTGTGAATCATTCAGGGTATAGACAGACATCAAGTGTGGGATTTTTCCCAGACTTTCTCAAAGTAGATGCAGATGAAGGAAAACTAAAAACCTTATCAGGATCCTGCAGGAACCTGGAGTTAAAAGCGTTGTGGAGGTGTTTCCTAAGGCCTGTAAAATGCAACTGAGCGAAATCTTGAAAAATGGGATTTCCTTCTTCGAGGGAAAAAATTAATTAAAAATACCTGGCCTCTGTAACAGTTAATCTGTTTCATATCTTCTTTAAGAAGAAAAAAAAAGAAAAAATGGAAGAGAGGAAAATTGCAAAGAAGAGTTATACCATATCACAGTGTCATTATTAAATTTGTAATGAGGCAGCAATTATTTCTAGCCAAGCGTGAAGTAGCACGACAAGAATTAGCTCACACCCTGTCAGTGAGCAATCTTCAGACTGGCAAATATCCATGGCAGCACCGAGCGTGATGTGGTGAAAGCTCTCTGTTAGTCTCCGGTCTCTGAATGTGTGTGGACATTGATGCCTGAGGCTTTATATACCCAAGAGATGTGCTTTGAAAAACACATTAGCAAGCATTCATTTAAGCTTATTAAGGAAACAGAATTAAAATGGTTAACAAAAGCAAATTGTTAGGTGTTGTTTTCGATAATACTCAGCCCATTCTTGCATGCCTGAGGATGGAGGGAAGATGCATTTTCTTCTTCAGCCTGAACTTAAGGGATGCATGTTTTGCCTCTGCTAAATATTTCATAGAGCAGCTCTTGTCGATTAAGACAGCACTATGGTGAAGGAATACAGTGCTTTGATATAAAACTGTCCCTTTTTTAAACCATGAGCATTGGAGAGATTTAAGGACCACCTGGTCTGTTTTCAAGAGTCTAAATAAATGCTTATGCATGTGCTCTTTCTTACCCTTACTGCTCCAGTCACCATTATGGGCTTGCCATAGAAATTGTTCCCAAGCTTTTACCACAGATTTATTCTGACCAAGATGTTAAGTACTGAGAAGGGGGTGAGAGAGAAAAATTCATGTGCGTGAGCTGTAGACGTTACGGTAAACTTTGTCCCTTAGCTTGCTTCTATTCTGGACAGTCAAGTTTTGTAAAATTGGTTTTCTGTAGAGAAAAACTGTAGTCAAGGGGGCAAATTGGAGATGTGCAAAGTATGGATTGTATTTATTTTCAGAGCAACTCCTGACATCTCCCTGGCATTATATTGGAAGAGCAGTTCATAGAAGCATGGTGTTACACATTCTCATGCATTGAAAAAATAAATATACTTTAGGTGGGATTATAGGTCTTTAATTTTAAATAAATATTTTTTTTTGCCATGACCTTTTATGCAGCGCTTCTGAATAATGAAAGCAAAATGAACTGTTCCAGCACGAGCCCGAAGACGTCTGCAGTTTATTTCCTGCCAAATGCTGCCACTTATCAATGGATAATATGATTTATTTCTGGCTGATGGCCAATCATGCTAATTAACACAACGGTACTTCTGCTGAGACCGACCGTGCCCTGTTTTGTGCTTTTCTCTTATCTGTCTCACAAGAGGGAGTTTAAATGCCTTACGCAACTGTTTCTTACCCCTACCTCCCCGAAAAGCAATGGCTCATGATTCATCTGACCACCCTTTCCAGCCCTGTAGTTATTTCTTGCCCCCCGCTGCACCCGCTGGCAAAGACTGCTCCTCCGCACGTGTTCTCCAGCAGTTTTTGCCTCTGCTCCCTCAACCTGCTCGCTCCTCTTGAACCTTTGTTGCGTTTTCTGATGCTAACTACCTGGTGCCAACCTGCAGTTGAGGGTGTAGACCAGATCTGGCCTATCTTGTCAGTGTTTTCAGTACTGTGAGTCAGTCTCTCTTGATTTATTTTAGGGAAAAAACTGATGGATGGCGATTTTGGCATTGCATAGCTTACAGGTTTGTTGTTAAAAAAAGCATACTTGGCATTGGATGTGGATGGGTTCATAACCTTAATGAAGAACAAATCTGGGCTTGCCGCCAGTAGTCTGTTGGGCTGGAGTACAGCAGTGCTGAGTGCCCAGCTGAGGTATGGAAAGGTGGTTCTTGTCCTGTTGAGAAATCATCATTTCAGGATGAAAGTGCAGCGAAGCGGACATACTTCCCTGCATCACAGCAAGGTTTGCATGTTTCTTTCTAAGAATCCCTGTCGCAATTGGTGACCGGTTGCTTACAGGAGCAATTGCCCTTGGTTCTTCAAGGATGTATTTGTCCCCATCCCCCTTTTTCTGCCTTCACTGTTTCCTGTTTTCAGCTGTTTCTCATTGACTTCTGAGCCTGTCATGTACTGTTG